TTTTTTTTTGTATGATAGGGTATTGCATTTGATCACAGATATCTGTTTGCAAAAATATCGATGAAACTGTATCAAACAACAACAGTCACTGCAGTCATGCAAAAAAGTATCAACATTTTCAAATGACTAAAAAGTTACCATATTTTTCAATATAATACACTGTAAATAAAATCAAATGAAACTAATATGGCTTTTTTTCTTGTTTTTCAGAATATTAAAGTGCTATCCTTCTGCAAAGCATTCGTTTTTATGGGAGCGTTTAGCGATTTTGCATCTGTTTGGCTTATTGTCCTTGTCTGTTTTGAACGACTAATACTTCTGTATGGAACAGCGTAAGTAGTTTTTTGATTTTTAACTATAAAAAAAAGAAAAAGAGTTAATTGACAATCTTTTTTTTTTAGCATTATTGATGAGCAATTTATATTTGCTTTTTTTTTTTTTTCAACGCCTCTGATTGCTTTGATTATATCAAACAACAAATTTATTTTTCTGTTAAGCTATTTAACCAAAACAGCAAAAAGAAGAAGAAGAAAAAGCATGTTTTTAAGCTTGTCATTTTTTTTTCTCAAAAATTTTAAAATAACTGTAGCGTAAATGAAACTTCAGTTTTTAACCGTTTTATGTAACCCCAGTAATATTTTTCAATTATGAATAACGTTGTTAGAACAGAGGACAACTTGATAAAATACAACTATAATTCACAGCGTAAAGAAATATGACTACAAAATTCTTTAATTCATCTAGAAAAAACCAGGTTTTTCTTACCAAGTCAAGAAATGTACTCGAGAACTCTGTAGCCTAATCTCATGTACTTCATATATAACAATTTTTTAAGTCTTTAGACCTAGTTGCGCTACACTGAAATACCAGATGTAACTAAATTGAAAAACATTGAATACTCTTTTAGCAGTTACATATGACACCTTTCCAGCTGACTGCAGCTAAACAGTTACCTAAAATAAAGTTATTAAAATAGAATTTAAGTTAGGAAGAAATAAGACATTTGGCTTAGAAAATGTTGCAAAATACTCTCTATTATAATCATTCCTTGATCAAAAAATTTGATTTTAGACGAAGTATGACAACTTCAAAAGCAAAATACCACGTCGCCATTGTACTCGCAGTAGCATTTGTTTTTAATTCCTGGATATTCATTACTGCTGAACCTGGAGAAAATGGCTGTGATATCAACCTTGAGTATGTCAGTCTGTACACGGTAAGCAGTGAAACTAAATTAGGTACTGATAAAGAAACTAAGATATTTTCTTAGTCTTCTCGCTTCGTTCTATTTTACTAGTTGGCTAGAGACTTGTTTGTTAAGATTGTCTGATTGAGCACTGTCAATTATGATAAAAAAAAAATCGCCGCATTAACTGGAGATGCGAATTGCTGCAAATCACAGATTTGCATAAGTATTGTAAAATTGTCTAAACTAAAGACATTTATATCACGGTTATTTAGAATAATTTATTATCAATATCAAAATTAAGCTAAGTTAATCAAGAAATTACT